ATCTTGAATAACTATCGTAATACTATAAGAAAGGGATCAGCAGTAGCGGAAACTGCCAGGGGAGGTGGGGCGCATCTCATCAACAAGGGTATCTGCATAATGAACATTTGTGTACCTAACCCTGAATTGTATCCCACATCTTTAAAATTAAAAATTAAAAAAAATACGATTCATATTTAAAGCTAGTAAAGTCAATTACTGTTTTACGTTGTTTAATACCTAACATGGTAACTTATGTTAAGTAAACACTTTAATTCTGTATTTGACTCAGTGATTTCTCAGTGATCTGTTATAATAGCAACTGTCTAAACAGTTATCTAAATAATTAATAACTATTTAAACAAAATAAGACATAGACGTTCTTAACCATTGGTGAACTTGGGAGGGAAATTAACTCCTTAAACTATGTGCAAACATTTGTGTATGTGTGTTTTTCTAGGGAGAAGACACACATTTGCATTGGTTTCTCAAAAGAGTATCAAATAAAGAAAAAGTTTTTAAAAAGTTATATGGTTAAAGATCAGTTTCTTGTCAAAATATACAATTACTCCTTTTATCCCTGAAACAGGCTTAAAATTAAGTGTAACCTCATGGAAATGTCCTGCTACTGTAATCAAGAATTTGAATGTAGAAGGAATGCATCACAGAATATATGATATCTGGCTATGTCTAAAGAATTAAGAATTAAGAGGTTTGAAAATAAATATTGAAACAAATAAATCAGAAAAAATTTCAGTTTCATTAAACTAAAATGTCATAGCCAGGAACATCTAAAATTGAGAATAATAAAGTTTATATAATATGTCAATGTCATCTAAATGTCACAAAATAATAAGATGTATAATGTAATTATTTTAAAAGTACATTGGAAATAACAGCCCTATTTTCAATCCTCTTAAGAAGACAAATAAAATTAAAGAGAAAATTACATTTTGTATGTATATTAAAATGTGTTGTAAAGTATCATCCCTACAAAGAAAAAAAAAAAGAATTGGAAATGTCTACCAAAGCATAAAACATTAACAAAACAACATAACATGTTAGACCAAATTTGGCTCAAGAAATTTTCTTTCATTTCTCTCCAAAATATACGTATGCATTTTTATTTTCTTATAAACTTATTTAAATTAAGAAAGAAAATGCATTTGTACGTAAAAAAAAGTTATTATCAGCATTTTCTAGTCAGTGAACAAAAGGAAAATATTAATGAAAAGACATATTAAAAAACAAATGGCTATGTTATAGTATAATGTACAGATTATATAAATCATGGATTACCTTATGCACATATAAAAGTGAGCATAGGGATAAAATGTATATAAGAGAAGTGAACTAAAAGTTTGCAACAGCAAATAAAAATATAAAGTTTAGCTATTTTTCTATACTGTATAAAACCCAGCCATCATGAAGGCCTGTGCCATTCTTAGGCCACTTTCAGGCAGATTGTGAAAAGCTGGAAAGTAAACACAGGTGTTTTAAAACTAGAGCTGCTGTCACGGACAACCACAAACACCCTTAACTCTGATGTGGCAACGCCTCTTTCCTGCCCTGTGTTTTTTAAAGCAATGCCTGAAAAGAAAATGTCAAATGTTTCACCTTTCAACACCTAAGAATAAGTAAGAGCTTAAAGTATTGTTTCATAAGTCTTCAGCAAATAGATATTTTTTCACTACTTTTAAATGCAGTCAATTAAATATTAATTGTATAAAAGAAAAAGTCAAATTTCTTAAAGAATTTCCATGACTCCAACCTTACACCCCTATTACAGCATATTTTATGGTAGATTTTCTTTAGTTTCTAAAAGCAAAATCTTGTCTGATCACATTTAAATTATTTATTCTGCTATATAATTTTAACACAAAATATCTGATTTTTTCCTGTGAGGTTTAACATACAACTCAGAAATAAGAAGTTGCTTAGAAAAATTCAGAGCTTTAATTGAAATAAGCAATTCTCTTTCAGAAAACAATCTCTGATAGGTACCTAAATAAGAGTAGAAATCATCATTTACAGAGAAAAAGAGAAAACAGGAAGTATTTCCAAAGTGCTACAAAACATGAAACTCATGTTCATAAATGAAATCCATTCTCTAACACTGAATTATTAACCTAATCCCTTTAGCTGTATAAAACAGCCTTTAAAAAGCAGAAATAAAATTCATTAGGAATTGGCAAATTATTACCTAACTGGTGAATATAAAAACTAAAGTAAAATTAATTCTTTACATTTTACCATATACATCAAGAAACAGGTGCTGTTAATAGAATGGCCAGGTAAGTATCCATCAGTTTCCAAATTAATCTTGCAGGTATTTTGATACATTTAGTCTTACCCTCAGAATTCGACAAATAATTCCTTTCTGCAATTCATATAAGAACTGGTCTATAAATAATGCTTGTTTGTATATTTGATTACTTATAATAAAGCACTAGTAGTTTCTCAGAGTTCTAAGCTTTTAATAAAATGACATATCTGCCCTTTAAAATATAAAATAAAAATTAATTAATAGGAATAAGAATAAAACTGAGTAACAGTTTTATAACAGTATCTACATTTTTTCCCAAAATTTCTTCAGATACTTTATTGTTTTTTAAATTGCTTTTCTAAAAACTGTGAAGAACTAATATTGGAGCTATATATTTGGCTAATCAGAGGCAATCAACTGTAAATGAGAGAAAAGTAAACTTTTGCCATCTTGTTCAGATCCACCCATGCATTGCTTCACCTCACATGTGAATGACATTATATAGTATTAAGAGCAAAATAATAAAGTTAAGTTATGACATAAACTAACAAAGTAAATAAATTTAGAATAAAGTTTGACACTTCTTAACTGAGTCCACTACACTTTGGTATTATAACATACACATGATACCTATGGGCACAAAGGAGCAAGGAATGGGCGGTGTGTCAGCCTTAGAAGTTAATTTCCTTGCTTTTGTTGGTTTATATTACCACCTAATATTACGTACACAATCCGTTTCTAGGCAATTTATTTCTTCCTCTGTCATGATGAGCTGAGTTCATTTGTACGCTAAATATCTTTCAGCATATAAAAATCCAGTTTAACAGCAACGGCAACAAAAGCCTGTAAAGGAATGTCATTTAAAAATAAATTTACAAAAATATAAGACATTTGCTTAATTAGAAAGAAAGCTATTACTTATATTTTACAACCTCTCAAAAGGTGAAAGTAACTAACACAACAGAATTTATTAAAAGCAAACCTTAGAATATTCAAAATTAATCAGTAATTCTTTTTTCATATTTTAAAAGTAAAGT